TCAGGACAACAGTGATTTTAATCAGGCTACCTGGTTTACCTCTAGCTAACATCACAGACCAGAGGCACATTCCCGGTGCTGACTCTTCTGTTGATAAAGGTCCACATAACTACTTTCATAGTTTTGTTTGGGCATAGTATGCAGGGAAAGAATGCGAGGACAGGAGAAGCCAGTTACCCAGGGACAACTGTGCATCACAAGATGGCTGTGGTCAGGTCAAGCCGATCAGATGCCGACTCTGGACACTATGAGGCTCATATTCTGCTCGATCTTCAAACTGAATCCCTCTCGGACTTTCACACTGATGTCAAAATCTAAGACTTAATTAAGCATGACTTTTCAATCGCAGGCAATGGTGTTTTCTTGGTTTATCCACTAAACTTGAAGGAAAATGGAAATACAGGAAAATGGAAATACAGGTGAATGAACAGACATAGTTATGGCTATGACAGGGGAGTACTGGGTAACTGAAGATGATCAAAGTCAGAGCACAAAGAGGATGGTAGAGGACAGGGGAGCCCACGTCATTAAGGCAGCAATAGCTCTAGTTTGGGATCCACCTATAAGTCCATATGGCCACCTGACTATCCAACCCCCAGTGCTCTATAAAATGGAAGAAGGGCTACCCAGCACTCTTATTTTAACAGCCTACATTTAGCTATTGCTTTCTGGATTGTAAACTATTAGCAGAGTCCTTCATACTTTTATACCAGATGCTCATAGGCATGTCTGCAGCTGCAAGTAACAACTAAAACAAGCCTTTAACAATGGGGAGCTTATTTTCTGCCTACACTTAGAAGCTAAAAGATGGGCATCTGATGAGTTTCACAGGTCCCCACTTCTCAACAGGGTCTCTTCACCTCTCCTTCAGCAAGAGCATCAGCAGAGTTCTAGACATGCATAGCTGTAGTAAGCCAGGAAGGTGGTGGGAACAGTTGGTGGGAATGAGTTATCAGCCACATCCATCTCTCTCACCAGGAAAGCAAATGCTTCCCCAGAAATACTGATTCTAATGGTGTTTCTCAGTGACACCTCGCATATCCACCCCAAGATAACAAAGTAAAAAGAGAATTCAGCATTTCTAGCTTCTACAGTACAAATGAGCCAAATAGGAATGTGTATTTGGTTGGAAAACTGGATTACAGCACTTTTATCTTTATTTTTGTTGGGTCAATTGTATGTAATATTTTGACCCTCTACAAATATGGTCAGTGAGGTCCTTCATATATCTTAAGAACTCTGGTCAAAAAGGATTAGTCTTGATTTTTTAAAACCCCACAAGAGCTTGATCACTTCTACAGGAAGTGCTGGTTGTGGAGATCCCAGTGGATCTCAATACACTGATGCTGTGTCTTTTCAACTTCTCTGCTAAGGCCCTCAACTGCAACAAACGTAGGCCCAATTGATTTCAAACTGAGAAAAGAGGAATTAGAAAATAAAAAAGCTGGGCTGGGAAGGTGGCTCAGTGGTAGAGTGCTCACCCTGCATGCATGAGGCCCTGGGTTTGAATCCTCAGCACCACATAAACAGTAAAGGCCAGAAGTGGCACTGTGGATCAAGTGGTAGAGTGCTAGCCTTGAGCAAAAGAAGCTCAGGGACAGTGCCCATGCTCTGAGTTCAAGCCCCAGGACTGGCCAAAAAAAGAAAGAAAATTAAGCATTCAAATGCACAGCCCTATCTGGTTAAATATGCATTCTAGTTCTCATGGCATACATAGTATTCATGAGATATTATTAGTACAATAGAAAAATATGCATTACTATAATTTGGGTGATGTATTGCTTTCCAAATTAAAAACAGCTTGCAAAAATATTCCACAAATACCCCTAAATAACTCATTGAATTGGCAAATTCACCTCTTAATGACTTCATATGAAGTATAAAACAACTTCAACTTTGAAAACAATCAAATGAAGTCATGTCTTCTACCATAAAACAATTTGAAAATGTCACTTTTGGGGGGCTAAGAGGAGGTAGGGATCCTGATACTGGGACTTGAACTTAGGACCTCACTCTTACATGGCTTTTTTGCTCAAGGCTGGCATGTTAATACTGGAGTACAGCTCCACTTCTGGTTTTGCTGGAGTTTCACATACTTTTCTGCTCAGGCTGGCTTTGAACTGTGATCCTTAAATCCCAGCCTCCTAAATAGCTAGGATTACATGTGTGAGCCACAAGTACCCAGCTATAAGTCAAATTTAATGTCTTATTGTGCTTTTTAAAATTAGAAGCCATGAATAAAAGAATATATACAAGCCAGGTGCCGGTGGCTTACGCCTTTAATCCTAGCTACTCAGGAGGCTGAGATCTGAGGATCGAGGTTCAAAGCTAGCCCGGGCAGGAAAGTAGTTCATGAAACATTTATCTCCAATTAGCCACCAGAAAACTGGAAGTGGCACTGTGGCTCAAGTGGTAGAGCACTAGCCTTGAGCTGAAGAGCTCAGGGACAGCATCTCGGTCCAGAGTTCAAGCCCCATAAGTGACTAAAAAAAAATAAAAATAAAAAATAAAAAAAGAAAAAGAAAAAAAAGGGATACACACAAACAAGACAGAGAAAAATCTAACCTGCTCTTTTATGAATGCAAGATTATAATTTCTTGTATATTCCTTCATCCAACTATTCATTGATAGAATGCAAAGCAATGAACACTGTTGTTTTGAAGTCAATTTTAAGAAATTAATCATTTTAAAATAGCAAGGGTTAGTTTCTTTTAAAAAAATAGGAAAGCATACTTCATTTCACTTTTTTTTTTCTGGCAGAGGAGGAGGGGCAGTGCTGGGGCTTGAACTCAGGGTCTGGGCACTGTCCTTGAGCTTTTTTGCTTAAGGCCATCAGTTCATCCTTTGAGCCCCAGCTCTACTTCTGGCTTTCCAGTGGATATTTGGAGATAAGAGTTCATTGACTTTCCTGCATGAGCTTCAAACAATGATTCTCAGGTCTCAGCCTCCTGAGTAGCTAGGATTACGGTGCCTGGCACCTTCTCCTTATTTTAAGAAAGTGAAGGGTTCTGTTTACAGTTCGTAGATCTGAGAGCTGAACAGAACAGTGTGGCCACGCTGGTACTAGCCTTCTACAAGTTCTAATATGCAAGACAAAGGTTAAAAACAAGTTTCTCTTTATTTTTAACAGGCAAAACTTGAAGCTTAGTCATTTGACATAGGGTAAAAAAATAAGTCCTGTTACATTGGCAACAAAAGGAAAACATGTTTATTCCCAAAGCACTCGGGTTTGCCTCTGCTTGGTCACCTTGTCTGGTGTTTTCCCCCCCCAGAAATTTCTCCTCAATTTTATGATTGTCCTCAGGGCAAAAATACTGATAATACATAGTTTAAATGCATCCTCATCTTGCCCCAACTTTGTTATTCTTGTTGCATAACCTCACACACATTCTAACCACTGTTTGTTCCCAAGTTTTATTTACAGTTAAGAATTTGTACATGGCACAAATCAACTGTTCCTAGTATACAGAAATTAATAGCTGTGTTGAAATATTTTTCTCCAGCTTTGGGGAAATAATCATGTTAATTTAAAAGTACACAAAATATGTTCTGAGACGAACAAAATACATGAGGTTCATGTAGTAAAGACAAAAAAACTCTATTTCTTAGCACAAATAAAATATCTGTAAACTCAGAACCAGAGAAGCCCCATATACTAATCATACAACAGACTGACAGACTGAAGTTCTTCAAAACTTATTTTCTGTGAGGCCTTTTATTTTAAATGGGTCAGGAATTTTCCATTTAGATATGTAGGAAAATTCCTACATATCTAAAAGGTGTGTATGTGTGTGCTTTTCTTTTTCTTTTCTCTCTCTCTCTCTTTTTTTTTGTTCTAGTACTAGGGCTTAAACTCAGGACCTTGAGCTCTTTCAGCTTTCTTACTCAGGGCTAGCACTCTACCATTTGAGCCATGCCTCCAGTCCAGAATTTTGCTGGTAAATTGGAAATAGGAGTCTTGTGGACTGTTCTGCCCAGGCTGGCTTTGAACCATGATCCTTCAGATCTCAGCCTCCAGAGTAGACAGTATTATTAAGTGAGCCATCAGCACTGGGCTTGAAGTCTTTGTTACTTTGTCACGTAACTCTTTAGTTTCTAGAGTTCACTGAAAGTTCAAAAACGAGAAAAGAGCTCTAAAACTAATAGGTGTTTCTCATAATTAGTGACTTCTCTTTTTGAAACAGGACTCACTATATTGCCCGGGCTGGCCTCCAACTCCTAGGTTCAAGCAGTTGTCCTGCCTTAACCTCCTGAAGAGCAAGGATTATGGACATTCATCATAACGCCTGGCCTCATAGTGTATACTTTTACATCAGTTTTCCACCAGAAAAGTAATGCTTTTAGAAATAGATTGTTTCATGATCATCTCTAGTTCATTTTCCTTTCTATAAATATTTCATTTCTGTAAGTGAAATGAAGTGAAACCAACTAAAACAGAAATGTTAGACTTAAATTCTGACTTCAGGACTTGGGGTGTAGCTCAGAGGTAGAGTGCTTGCCTAGCAAGTGTGAAGCCTGGGTTTGATTCTCAGCATTGCTTCAACACTTTGACTAAAATTATAATAAATCTCATGTTGGGAAACCATTGACTAGTAAGTAGGAGAGAGTCCTCTACATCCTTCCTTAGAAAGGTTTGAGTACTGAAAAGCCAAAACATATCTGTAGTACTGGAAAACAGATTCCTTTATTACTTACACAACTTTAGCTTTCATGTACTTTACTTGGTATAACCAAACCAGTATGTGTATGTATATGTGTATATAATATGGATATCCACATATACTCACACATATATACATACATACACATATACACATTGTATTAGATAATATATCATCTCTTTCCCCCTTTCAGTGGTGGTGATAGAACCCAGGGCCTTGTGCATGCTAGGCAGGCACTCTTCTACTGAGCCACATCCCCAGCCTCATTACCATCTTTGAAAAGAAGCCTGAAATATTTTAGAGAACTAAGTTTTAAAAAGGATACTAAAAGAAGTCATATTTGTAAACAAAATTTATATTACTTCTTGCACATCATTTGATGGACTTTATACTGCTTTTTTTTTTCTTTTTGGGAATTAGCGTACACACTAAAACATTTCTTACGTTCTCAGAGCAACTTTTGTTTTCTCCATAGAAACTCAGGGACGTTGTGCCAACTTACTCTTACTTCCTTCTTGTTCACTGAGTTTAAAGTGGGTATAGGCCAGTATGCCAAAGAGTGTACATAAAATGCCAAGACCTTGGTTAATAGACAGTGGATCCTTAAATAAAACGTATCCTCCACATAAAGTGATGCAGAATTTGAAGTGTCCAAACATGTTATAGCTGAAGTTTTCAGATAAGGATAAAAAAGTAGCAAGCTAGGTGTCAGGTATACACATATGTATGTGTGTATACACATACACAGAACACTACCACATGCATACCTTACCATAGTATCACACCATGTCCACTGCACTCTCCCCACTGCACAACTGTGGAGGTGCAGGGGTGTTATAACAAGTGTCTAAATGGTAGAGTTGGAGTCTAAACACAGATGAGTTTATTCAGCTCCAAAGTCCAGGCTCTAATCTAGGGTACTATAATACCAGTAATTCACTGCTGGATTTTCTTGCAAGTCATTTCTCATGTAAAAAAAATAAATTAAAAAACCAAACTGAACACACACACATACTTCCTTCAAATATTATTCTCTTGTCCTAGTAAATATAATTATGTTAAATATAATTATATATAAACCAAAACTTTATTGCTCTTCAGACGTATAATGTGAACCTATTTACCTGATAAGAAAACTAGAAAAAGCTACAACTCTCAGCCTTGATTTCCTCATTTATAAAATAAGGGACAGTCTGTACCTATTTACTTTGAGGATTAAATCAGTTAATACATATGAAAGCACATAGCAAGTGCTATGTATGTTAGTGCTAATAGTTATCAACAGCAGTGATTTACATAATAAACATAACCCAACACCACACATACTATGGCTCCTATTCCTTTTTTTCTTCATTTTTGCAACATCATAGATTAACCTAGGACTTCTCACACTCTGACCACCCTACCTACAACTTCAATCCTGTCCCCAAACATTTCATCTCTGCTGTTTGCTCTAGTTTTTCTTCTTGACAGTTTACAATACCCAGTACTGCATATGTATATTTAAATATTTTCTTGTGTATAGTCTGTGTTCCTCATTAGAGTGAAAGCCTATGAAAGATAAGGTTTTCATCTATTTGGTTTGGCTATTATATCTCTCATGGCTACATACAGATGTTCAGTATAAAAATATTCTTTAAATCAATGAATGGTTCACAGTGCATCTGCAATCAATATCTTTTAAATGAGTGAATGATTTTAATAAGGGCCACAGTCTTTAATACATTGATGTGGCAGCATGAGGTCCAAGTCCTGGGGCTAGAAACTGAATTCTGGTCTACATGACGTATTTCTCATTGAATGATCTTTTTTGCAGGGTTGTGGGTTGAACATGGCCTGTGCTTGCTAGGTAGATGCTCTACCTTGAGCTGCATTCTCAGCTCTTCATCTGTATATGCTAGTGTGTTAAATATATATATTTAACTCCTGTGCTTGTCTGTCTATAAAGCAAAATGATTTTATCTCACAGAGTTCTGGTAAGAATTAAATGGATTGATAAATGCAAAATGCTTTTAACAATACTTGGTAAATAATTATTAAGCATTGTTTTTTAAAAATAAGTCACTATTATTTATTGACAGTTGGAATATTTGAGATTTACTTTTTACTATATCTCAATCATTCATATAAACCATATAGCTACTCATAGCAATTACTAAACTGCCTTCTCTGATCTGGTAATAGAATCTATTCTTAGCATTTGCCTAAGAGCAGGGCAAAGTGAAATGCAAAGAGAAACAGAAGGAATAGTGAAAATATACAGCTGAACTTGACCTTAATGACTTCATTTTTTGACTTGAAGTATTAGAAAACCAGACACAAGGGCATACTTTAAAATAAGATGCTAATGGTGTGAAATTATCTTACGTTATAAGTCAATCACACTTCTTATAGCTAGCTAAAAATCACTAAAACGCAAGCCTTCACCCTAATATTCAATCAACAAATATTATTTGGATTTACTCTCTCTGTAAGAAAGCTTAGTGTTTGTAAGAGAAGAGGTCACTTATTATTTAAGGAAACATAAATACACCCATAATACAAAAAAATGAACTCATTTGCTCAGTTATTTCTTTAAAATTCCAGAGACTCTAGTGTGAAAAGATAAAAGACTAAAACCAACACATTCTAGTCTACTTAGGCTAAGCAATAGAATATGACCCAACTAAGATAATGAATGAGTTTTAGAAAACATAAAGATTATATTGATGTGTAAGTTATTATGGAAAGGATACGTGACTGGAGAAGTGTTCCCAATGATCCAATAAATTGATAAGTTTACCATGAAAGCTATAACTCCAGACAGCAGCACCATAAGCTACAAAAAAAAACAACAAAAAATAAAATTATTAACACATCATTGCAACTATTATAATCCTATGAAAATACATTTTTCATTGGTCGTTTAAAACTCAAGTCTCAAAACCAAAAGAGGATAGATACTCTTAGGAGAGAAACACAAAGGTGTAATGCTTAAGTGCCTCTTCATATTTACATAAAATTTATATAAAATAATATATATACTGAAACTCCAAGACATATAAACAAGAGACTTCTTTTTTTAGTGTTTAGTTTTTGATGATTCATTCTTATGCATGATGCATTCCTGGGAAGGGGAGAGATACAGAACTCGAGGGGTAAAGGATAAAAAAGGCCAGTGGTGGAGTTTACTGGACATTGATGAAAGTGAACTATACAACTTGTGGGTGGAGAAAATACTGTATGAAAGGAAATGTACTCATTACCTGACTCATGTAATTGTAATCCCTCTGTACATCACCTCTATAATAACAATAAAGTAAATATATTTTTTTTAATCCTCAAGTCTCAACCATTAAAAACAAAATTAGAGTCCTGGGTACTTGGTGGCTCATGCCTGTAATCCTAGCTACTCAGGAGGTTGAGATCTGAGGATCATGGTTCAAAGCCAACCCAGGCAGGAAAGTTTGGGACTCTTATCTCCAATAAACCACCAGAAAACCAGAAGTGGTGCTATGGTTCAAGTGGTAGAGCTCTAGCCTTGAGGTGAAGAGCTGAGGGACAGTGCCCAGGCCCAGAGTTCAAAACCCATAACCAGCAAAAAAACAAACCAACAACAACAACAACAAACCAAGATTAGAGGGGGGCTGGAAATGTGGCTCAGTGGTAGAGTGCTTGCCAAGCATACATGAAGCCCTGGGTTCGATTCCTCAGTACCACATAAACAGAAAAAGCAGGAAGTGGCACCATGGCTCAAGTGGTAGAGTACTAGCAAAAAACAGTCAAGGACAGCTCCCAGGCCCTGAGTTCAAGCCCCAGAACAGGTGAAAAAAAAAAAAAAGATAAAAAATAATGCACTTGGGAGTCAATAGAAGGAAGTGGTCAAAACTGTAACTGTCATAAGAATCAGAAAAACTAGCCAGATGCCTATGGCTCACACCTGTAATCCTACTCAGGAGGCTGAGATCTGAGGATTGAGGTTCAAAGGCAGCCTGGGCAGAAAAGTCTGTGAGACTCTTATCTCCAATTAACCACCAGAACTGGTGTTGTGGCTCAAGTGGTGGAACGCTAGCCTTGAGTTGAAGAGCTGAGGGACAGCTCCCAAGCCCAGAGTTCAAGCCCCAGGACAGGTTAAAAAAAATCAGAAAAATTGCAGTAACCCATCATTGAATGTGAATTTCTAAATTCATTTTTCTTATTCATTCACGGAAGAAATATTTTTTTGCAATGATTATTTTTCTAAGACTGAATCTCACTATATTGCCCAAGCTGGCCTCAAACCCTGGGACTCAAGGAATCCCCCTGCCTCAGCTTTCTGAGTAGAGGAGACTACAGTTATATAACCACAATCCTGCTCAAGTTTATTATTATAATAAAAGTAATACATATGTACCATAGAAGAATCAGCAAATAAAAGATGAAAAAGTATAAGGAATTCCAATATCTCCAACCACCACACCTGTTTGTCTTCTGAACTGTTTTCATTCTTATTTAAATTATATCAATAAACATTCATGGATTACCTACAAAATTAGGCAAGATTCTGAATTGTTTTCATTCTTATTTAAATTATATCAATAAACATTCATTGATTACCTACAAAATTAGGCAAGACCTTGTGAGGCACAGGCACAAAGTTCCTGTCCTCAAATGAGCTTAGGAATATAATATATAATAAAAAAAAATCACTGATGGGCTGGGAAGGTGGCTCAGTGGTAGAGCGTTTGCCTTGCATGCCTGAGGCCCTGGGTTCAATTCCTCAGCACCACATAAGAAAAAAGCCGGAA